GGCGCGTGCAGGGCTTCGCCTTAACAAGTACATCCCAACTCCTTGTTTTTTAAAATCTCTCAAATTTAGCCCCAAGTTTACTCAAAAAGTACAGCTTTATGAATTTTTGCCCAGTCAAGGCCCAGATTATGTTCAAAACTGGTCATGCGGGGCAAATTTTTTGGCACGTGTCCATTTTCGAACCAGAAAAGTATTGACGGGGCAAAAAACATAAAACGGACCCGTGAGGTGTTTAGGGTTGATCCCTCTCGCGAATGTGTCATTTTTCCCTAGGGATTTTATATTTTTCGCCCCCATCAGAAGTTTTCTAATGCGAAAATGGACACGTGTCGAAAAGTTCGCTCCGCAGGACCAGTTTTGAACATAATTTGGACGTCGCGTGAGCAAAATTCAAATGAGTTGTACTATTTGAGTAAACCTGGGACTAAATTTGGGAGATTTTTGAAAAGGTTTTGAGTTGATCCCGCACACTTACTGAACTATACACCAAAAGCGCAGAATTGTAGCTTCTGGCGCATGGTGTCTGCCAGTTTCTCACACATCGCGCAGAATTAGCTCCTTTCAACGCAGTTCGATTGTTATTGGGCCACATGTTCGAAAGTTAGAGGCCAATTGGTTTTACTGTTAGTAAGAACAGTAACTATCCGGTCATGTTTTTTACCTGCGCGGAAAAAAATATCCCACGGAGAAAGTGCATCAACCCGAAACACCCAATATATGGTGTTTAGGGTTGATGACTCCCTCGATGCTGCCATCGAGAAATAATATACATCACGAACAATAAAACCGATTGTTTATGGCATCAACCCCAAACACTTCCGCATTGTGTTTAAGGTTGATGCCTCCCTAAACAACATGCCATCCGAGAGGGGTTTATGTTTTTGTCTGCCCAAAATGCAGGTGTAGTCAGTTCGCTGGCCGTCAATTTAAGCGAAAATGTCGGTCCGTCGATATTTTGGCCAATGATGAACGAACTGCGTTGAAAGGAGCTAATTCTGCGCTATGAGCGAAAAACTAGAAGAAACCATGCGCCAGAAGCTACAGTGCTGCGCTTTTGGCGTATAGTTTCAGTAAGTGTGCGTGATCAACTCAAAACCCTTTTTGAAAACAAGGAGCTGGGATGTACTTTCCCAATATTTATTATTCACTAGGCATAGGAGGTCCACTTGTACTCGGATGTTCCCACTCTGATTGGCCAAAGATAAATAAAAGCTCGACCCCGACTATGTCGCCACCTAGGCTTTCACCTAGGTTTTTAACTAGCGCGGACATCAGCAGCCCCAGCTTACCTTCCTATTTCACCGTACGACTGTCAAACCTTTGCCGATTAGGCTGGTTCCAGCTACTCGACATCGTCTCGGCGCCAGGTAAGTTGGTCTCCCTCCTCGGTCTGCTTCCGCTGCTCACCTCGCTCACCTTGCTCACCGTGATCTCCCCGACCTCCTTTGACAACGCTTCGCCGACATGCAGGGAACAGGTTGTGACGCCGCCATTTAGAAAAACGCCGTACCTAAGCTTATCCTGCGCCTCTCCTCCCAGTTTCGTCTTTTGCGTCTCAATTTTTAACTCCCACGGATCCTCCCGCTTGTCAGCCCAGCAGTCCCCGTCTGTTTTTCCGTGCCTCGACCTCCCGTGCTCGCGAAGGCCGCGAGGAGCCTCGTTATTGCTTCGCTGCCGCCTAGGGACCTTTCAGCACTGCTAGCCGCACCCTATACCTCCCGCGCCGTCGCCAACAGATAACCCCCCGCCTCCGCCAGAAATTTGGCGCTGCGCACACGCGCCGTTTCTCGTCGCTCTCCTCCCTCTCGTCCCCGCGTACACATGGCAACGCTTCAATTGTTACCGATGGCTCTGTTTACTGGCGCTCCCCCCCCGTTTACGTACACCCCGCTTTCTCCTCCGACACGCCTGCTATTCTCCACGCCGAGTCTCCGGCCCGCGCGACACCGCTGAACCGCGCGATCCGGGTCTGCGCGCACCGTGCTACCGCGCCGCCAACAGCTCGCCGTCGCCTTTTCTGTACTACTGGAAGCGGTGGCAACCTCAGGCGTGCATGCGTTACCTCCCCCTTGCATATCTTCAGGTGAGTGCTCCCGAACACCCCCCTGCTTCTCTCAGTCGCTCTCCATTTTATCGTCTCTGTAAGCCTCATGGTCCGCTACCTTCCCTGTGCTGTTGCGTTGCCGCTCGCTCTCTCGCTTTGACGATTTACACCTTGCCTCGCTATCCTTGCCTCTATGCATGGTCTCCGGACTTGGGCTGCCGCTTAGGCTCTCAGTCTACCCCTGACTCGGGCTGCCGATTAGGCTTCCAGTCAAACCTCGTGAATCGCTGTGGCCAACGCCTTTGCGTTCACATCCTTGCTCCTGCCATTGCCTACACGTGGCCTCGTGATTCGGAAAGCCCCTCGGGCTCCCAGTCAGCTCCTTTTAACCGCCCGGGCTCTGGTAACTGCCTGCTTGACCCCACCCCCCTCCCCCTGCGCCTTGCGGCCCTTGGCTCCGACCCGCCTACTGCGCCTGCATGCTTGCCTGCCTGCTTCTTTAGGCTCCCTGCCCTGTGTTCTATGTCGCTTCACGCCTCTGATTTTGACGTTGCTCCCACCCTTTGCCCCAGATGCTCCCCCCCCTCATCTCCTCTTAGACCCGCGCCCCTGGTTACTACGACGCCGCCCCTATCCCCCCCCCTAGGCCGGCCTCCCCCCCCTGTGGTGGCTCAATGTGCCTGCCTCACCTCCTACCTTCCCCGCTCCACCCCGCCTTCACACCGCCCCTCCGCCCCCCGGGGTCACCCTTCCCCCCTCATGCCCCTCTGGTTCCACCCTGGGCCCGCACTCGGCCCTGACTTCCTGCTGCTCTACATTCTGCCCTTTCTGTCTTTTGAGGCGCCTTCACAAAGCCCCTTAGAAACCCACGCTACCTTGCTGCTCTACCTTCCCCCCCTTCTACCCCCTCTCTCCCTGGCCCCTCTATCACTCTGCGTGCCTGGCAGATTCCTTAGCTATACGTGCTTCCAAGCGTTGTCTCTGTCGTTGGAGAACTATCTCCCTCTGCCTGCACCCCCTGCATTTTGTGCTGCCCCTTGGTTGTTTGCCCCACGATGTTGTGCATCAGACCGCTACAAGTCTCTCTGTTTCAAATGCTTCACTCGCTCTTGTGCATTAAGTCTTGTCCCGGTCTTTACACTCAGCTGCAACACCTGTCCCAACTCTAGCTGGAAACAAGATTACTGGTACAATATTGGACACTACCGTCATTACAAACTACCAAAAGAGCATAAGAATGATAGCGCGTCGCTGCACTGTTTCGTTGCAACAAGGGAAGTGGATCGTACAATTTTTTACTACCGTTTCAACTCGCAAGCTCCCATAGTCCACCACTCAATCACTTTTCTGCACCTTGCAACCTCAGTGCACCTCAAGTCAGCCTTGCAGCTACGATGTAGCACTAGTCACGCTCGAACAAATCGAGCACGCTTACACACGGCACGTACCCCAAACTCCAAACAAGCACTGTTTCGGCACCTCTTCGACCTCAAGGACCCACCGGTACACCTTTCTATCAAGCAATCCTGCATCCCAGTGCCGCCTCGGCATCACAAACCTCACCAAGTCTGGCACGTCTCCGGCCTCACCTCCACCCTTTGCACTCATCAGCAAAAACTCGTACTTAGGCCGTGGATACGCACGCTCCCCCGTGCGGTGGCCTCCACAGCATGGCCATGTTAACACACCTACGCATCTTATGCATTAACGTGAACGGAATTAACGGGACACGCAAAATGGATGAGCTGAAGTCGTGGCTGACGAGACTTCCTGCTCCCACTGACCTCGTCATCCTCATCGACACCCGGCTCATCGACAGAATCCCCAACCTGGAGTTAAAATTTCGACCGCACGCCTCCGCTCACGCCCCAGCACTACTCTCTACCGACAGCACCACAGGGAGGCCCACGCTTATCGGTGGTATCTCTATCTTATCTTTTAACAGGGCTATCTCACTGTCCTCTCCACTCCCCTCCGCAGATGGCAGACTTATCACTGTACACCTCAACTATCTCCAGGAGCAAATCCGCCTTATCGCCATATACGCCCCCACACAGTTCTACGAACGCCGGATGTGGTGGACCACCACACTCGTCCCGGCACTGGAAGCCCCAACCGCTGCCGCCGCATCCATGCTTGTCGGAGACTTCAACTCGGTAATCCTTCCCATCGACAGAAACCGCCCTCCCAAAGACTTCGAGGTTCGTGAGGGCGCTTCATTCGCCAAACTCATGGATAACCACTCACTGGTCGACACCTTTCGTGCACTCCACCCCACGCCGACAGATGTCTTCTCCTTCTATGGGAGGCAGCGTCACAATACTGCAACGCCGCCCACCTCCTCCCGACTCGATAGGATATACATCTCTCGGGCCTTCGTTTCCCGTCTTGCTGCATGTCCGTACATCCAAACCCGCACGACAATCACGGACCACCTCTACGCCCCCCTCTGCTCGCTCTGCTTCATCAACCCAACAGTTGCCCCTCGACCATGGCGACTCCGACAGCATCTACTCATGCGCCCCCATGTCTCACAAATCATCGACACTGCCCTCGCAGTCTTCCCATCCACCTCTTCCCCGGACTCCTGGGACAGATGGAAGCTCGGCCTCACCCTTAACCTCAAACGCTTTTCCAACCAGGAGAAACGCCGCGTCGATGGCACGATCGCACATCTGGAACATACCATCGGTTCCCTACAGCGACATGCAGCGTACACGCTCCTGACTCAGGCCGAGTCCAACCGCCTTGACCAAGCAAGACTCCATCTGGCCAGGTATGAAGCCGCGAAAGCCTCCGAGATTGCGCTCAAGGCCAAGCTCAAAGTGGAAGGGCACAGAGAAATGGGAGTTTCCTCTCTTCTCTCTGGCCTCAACTCACGGATCAAAGGCTTGATAATCAAATCCCTGACCTTACCTAATGGACAGATGACGTCGGCCTCCCCACCATGACCAACATGTGCTCTAACTTCTTCCAGACACTCTACAGCGGAAACAACCCCATCACCCCAAGCAGTTCCTTTTGGCAACACATCCCCCCCTCCTCCATCCCGAACCCCTTACTCCTACGACTCAGCGCCCCCCTTTCCCTAGCTGAAATTGGAAAAGCGCTGCTATCTCTATCTCGAGGAAAAACCCCCGGCCCAGACGGCCTTCCTGGGGAACTCTTTCGGCAATTTTCCCCGCGATTTGCACCGGTCTTCCACTCCCTGCTCTCCCCACTACAACCACTCTCTCGTCTACCTCCGTCCATGCTGACCGGACGTACTGTCCTTATTCCTAAAAGGGGTGACTCCTCGCTAGTAGAGAATCTCCGCCCCATCACCCTCATGAACGCCGATTACAAAGTTCTCGCTCTATGTCTGGCTAACCGCCTTCAGCTCGTTCTCCCCCAGCTCATCCACCCATCGCAAACCGCCTTCATTAAAAACAGGAAAATCGGAGATACAATCAACGATACCCTCGACATCATGGACTGGGCAGCCTTCTCTTCGACCCCTCTTCTCGCTCTTACGGTGGACTTTCGGAAGGCCTATAACCTCGTCGATCGACCTTTCCTCCTCCAAGCCTTAGCGGTCCTCGGTCTCCCTGCATCCTTCATCCACTGGGTACGACTAATGCACTCCGACACGAACACACGAATCTCGGTCAACAACATGCTCGGCCCCACCTTCCCCGTCCGTACAGGCGTCCGACAGGGCTGTCCTCTAGCGCCTCTACTCTTCGTCTGTGTCATTGAGATTTTTCACCGCTATATGGCCCTCTTCCTCCCCGGCTTCGCTCTGTCCCCCGCTCAGCGCCGACTCATGGCATGCTATGCGGACGATGTAACACTCTTCCTCACCTCAGACACAGAGCTCGGCCTCGCAGTGATGCTCCTAGGTGTTTTTGGGTCCGTGTCTGGGGAGGTCCCCAACTGGAACAAATGCTCCATTATTCCTTTCAACATCCCCCCCACTGACCTTGTGCACACCGGGCCTATACCCGTTCGAGCCCCCGACGAAGCAGAACGCATCCTTGGAATTTTTGTTGAACGACTACACCCCGGATCCACTACCTGGACTAAGGCTCTTGCTCGTATACAAAACACTTCCAAATTCCTGGCGGCCTTACATGCCACTGTCACGTGCCGCAAATCTCTCTCCTCGATCTTTTTGAACTCTGTCATCTCCTATCCTGGACGCTTCCAACCAGCTCCACCGGACACCATCAAACGCCTGGACATATCTGTCGGGAATTTCCTCTCGTCCTCCAAACATAAACATGACGGCCTCGCACAACGATTCCTCCCCAATGGCCTCCTATACAACTCCCCCCGAGATGGCGGGGTTGGGGCAATCGCCCCATCTACACAGGTCAAAGCCCTCGCTATCCAGCGTGCCCTGCGCAGATTTGGACCCACCCCGTCCGAAGAAGTTGCACGTACCTTGACCCCGTTCCCCTTTGGGCTACACGGTCTGTTCTCCCATAAAGCCATCCTCGAACGAGACTATCTCCCCACCTTCATCCCCCCTCGGGCGCTGGACGAACTAAAAGCCCTCCTCTCTCTTCCCCTGGTAATCCATGCCCCCCCCCTACGCATGCAGTGCATCCTCACCAAACCTCTCGCCTTCAACCGCTCGCTCCTCAAACCCGACGATCGGCCGTTTGGCACCCGCCAACACGAGCGTTTCCTGCTTACAAGGCAGCTCCGCATTGGACACATTGTACGAACCACCAACTTTGGCGTCGGCCCCATCTCAGCACAAGAGTTTTGCTCCGAACTCCCAGAGGAATTCCACGACGACGCAACTCGCATCCTTCCATATCTCATCAAGGCTATCAAACGTCCCTGGTGGGCCGCCCTCCAAACCCCACACGCCTCCTCTGCCTCCCCAAGAGACTGGTTCATGCTTTCGGACGACCACTACTCCATCTCGCACCTCGTCGTCCAAGTCGTCGCCTACATCCCCCCCTCCTCCGTCTCGGCTACTGTCCACCTCGTATCGCCAAACCATCGCATCGCCCGCCCCCCGGCAACTACCGGACTCTTCCGTCTTCAGGACCTCATAGAGGTGCACGTCAGGGATTGGTGGCTCGCAGGGCCACTTCACACAGGGGCAGGGTTAGGAGCTAGGATAGAACTTCTACAGGACGGCATCCCCAGCCTCGCCGACATCCGCCGTCTCCTCTACTCACCACAACCGCTTACTCACCACAGCCGATGGACCCGCGACCTCACCCTTCCTCCTCCTCCCCTCCCTGGCCTTAAGGACTCATTTCTCAAAGACCAGCCGAGCCGCCAACGGGACATCCTTTTCAGACTCTACACGCTTACCCTTCCCTCTGGATCACGCTTCCAATACTTTGACGATCGAGGGGTCTGCCCCCGGTGCCCAGCTGCAGTCGTCGAGACACTACCGCATATCTTCTTTGAATGCGCCTCCGCCGGAAACGTCATCTCGGCCCTCCACACAGTCGCTGACCGCCACCTCAGACAAACTACCCCCGCCGAACACATCTTCTTCCCGATACAGTCACGGGTGGGACAGTCTCCCCCTTGGAGCCTACTAGTGGGAGCTGCAGTTAAAACACTGTGGACCAGTCGCTGCGACCATAAGTACCGCAACTCCTCATCTTCGAGCTTCGAGATACTGCAGCTGATATTAGCCCAATTCCTCATCGCCTTCAAAATTTATATGTGGAGGGGCAGGCGCTTATCTGCCAAGAAGCGTCAACGCATATCCTCCAGCATCAAGCGAGCTCAGAAACTCCGCTTCCTCCTCTTCGACAGGACCGGTACACCTTCCATTCACCCCGGCCTCAGATTCTCATGGCTTCTGGGAAACCCGTTCCGACCACAGTAGACTGCCACCGCATAGAGCGTCTCCCCAGGCTGCTGGTGGTTGTCCGTAGGACAAAGAAATAACGTGTGTTCCACGTGCTCCTTAGAGGATGCTGGCCATCTCGGCCATGTTTCTAGATAGCTCTATGGTACTGCTCATTGTACATTGATTACGATCAATATATAACCTTAACCTTAACCCACTCTGATTGGCCAACCAGCCCAGCGCACGCCCCGTTGGTTTGGTGCAGACGTGTCGTGCTTAACGACCGTCAATCGGGTTGTTCCATGAGCCATAGGCTGAGTCAGACCGAAGAGAGTGTCAGGGCGCCTTCCTGAGATGGCCATCGAAGTGCAGCATCATTGGTCCAGCGTGGCAGAATTCAATCTTGGTCACACCCATCACACGTGCCATGCGACGGGAGTCGATTAGGGCGCCAAAACAAGAGAGTTGGTGCAACCACTCACATGCGTCTGCATCAAATGTTCATACGACAGTTTTCAACAGCCACATACTCCCATGAGACGATCGAGAAACACACTGGGTGGGAACCGATAAAACTTTTAGGGTTTTCAAGGGAATTTCATTGTCCTAGTTCAGTTTTTTGGTTACGTGACAGTCTAGCTTGACTCGTTCTGACGTTCGGAGGCAAGGAAAGTTACTCCTTGTTCTCGATTATTTCACACCCCTTAATCTCACACCCTGGGGTATTTACCCTAGGTCAATCGTTTTCGTAGGATAGTTACCAGCGTTTTGGAAAACCGCGGAGGAGGGTCGGACGTACTTTCGGGTTTGGTCGGGGTGCACCAAGAATATAAAAGAGAACAAAAACCTAACTAAACACTTCACCCCGAACATTAAGTGCGAGTTTCTTTCTAGAGGCTACCTGCCCGTTGTATCTTTATAGTCCCTCAATTTCTGGGTGTCCGTCGCATCAAGTCAAAGCACGTAAAGGGTACCTACGAAAAAAAAGGGTAGGGGGTGTGCAATTATCGAGAACTAGGTGTAACGTGAGGCAATTTCGCACGACCCTCGGCTGCCAAATCATGCGACATCCACATTCACCCCCACTTTGCTGCCATGGCACAGGCACGTGTTTCGTGCACTGTTGCTTGGGGCCACGTCGGATGGGGCCGAATGGGGCCTCATCTCAGGAAGGCGATCTCATTCAAACCCTGACGTTTTTTAAAACCGGAACTAAACGTTCTACGGTAAAAATTAACCGTTTTGTCACGCAAAAACATCCCACCAAACCGCATCTAAGTGGACACTCCCCTACTCATCCCCTTCCCTGCTTGCTATCAGCAACTGTCAATTTCTATCTGCTCCCTGTCAGTTACTGCACAAGCAGTTTCTTTGACACAAGTTTCCTGCTCCAAGCTGTCGCTCGGTCCTACCGAGTCAAGCAGGGGCTGGTTTGTCTATTATGACATTGACAAGCCCAGAGAGTGTCTACGGACTGTATAAATTCTGTATTCTGGTCAGCATTGTTGTCTTGTAGTAGTAGACGATGTATGTAGCAGCAGCTAGCCAGTGGACGAGTTGAGCTCAGTTGCTTGCTGCTTCCTTGGACGTTGGGATGTCGTTGTCAATTTGTTTCCCAGGAAATCACGGAGGAGCAGGCTCCTGCCTGGCTGGAAGAGAACACCCAAATCCTCCAAACCAATCCACCCAACCCAACCCTACCATTTTATCGGCCATTTCATCGGCTTCACGTGATAATCCCTCCGTGACGACCAATCATTGGTTGAACCAGTGCCAGCATCGCGGATGGTTTCTTTGAAGTTGAGCGGGGTTAGGTTCGGCTCTGGCAGTTCTCAGCTTCGCCTGGTCCTGTCCTGCTTCGGCGGAACAGCAACACAAGGAACTCACGGCGCGCGCACACAACGACGGCGAGCGCACACAAAGATGCTGCTGATGCCCTTTTCATGCGGAATACCGCTTTTACGATGCGTTTCCTTTTTCAACCAGCAAGCCGGCATAACCTTAGCACTGTACTGCACGACCGCATCGTTCTTTTGTCTGTCCTTCTAGCTGTATTAGTGCACTTTCTTGATGAACCCCTTAGCTGTCCTTTCTTTCTTTGGTGTTACAGTTGCGCTTGGACGTTCTCATTCATCGTGAAAACTATATTTTCTAGTACAGGATCGTTTTTATCCCAAAGAGCCTTCCTACCATGCCCTACTACTAGTAGTACAAGTAGTACTTGCAGAAGAACTATTTCTTCCCACTGACGCGCATTCCCGCCGTCGCAGCTACCAAGAACACGGCCGCATGACAATGCTTATCAGTTGAACTACAAAGCCTGAATTTGTTTGATTTTGCGCTGCCCCTCATTAACGTCAGAGCCTTGGATGCTTGTTGCTGTGCTGCTGTAGTACTGCTGCTGTGCTCCTCATTTGACCATCTTCATCTCGCCGGTAGTAGTAGTAGCAGTAGTAACCGTTACTACTGCACCGTTTCGAAGCGACATCAATCAAATCATGATGGCGCGTTCGCACGGCGGCGCGGCTGTGACGCGACGCTCTGGCCTCGTGCTCGCTGCACTGGCTGCTCTCATGCTATCAGGTATGCTCTCATGCTCTCATGTTGCTCTCATGCTCTCAGGTATGCTCTCATGCTCTCAGGTATGCTCTCATGCTCTCAGGTATGCTCTCATGCTCTCAGGTATGCTCTCATGCTCTCAGGCATGCTCTCATGCTCTCAGGCATGCTCTCATGCTCTCAGGTATGCTCTCATGCTCTCAGTTATGCTCTCATGCTCTCAGGTATGCTCTCATGCTCTCAGGTATGCTCTCATGCTCTCAGGTATGCTCTCATGCTCTCAGGTATGCTCTCATGCTCTCAGGTATGCTCTCATGCTCTCAGGTATGCTCTCATGCTCTCAGGTATGCTCTCATGCTCTCAGGTATGCTCTCATGCTCTCAAGTATGCTCTCATGCTCTCAGGCATGCTCTCATGCTCTCAGGTATGCGCAACACCCTCTTAGCGGCATCCATGTGCTCCTTCCGGTGACGGCCAGGAGCGACATAGCATGCAAGGATGCTAAGAGGGTATGCAAGGTCAGATCGAGTGCAGGTCATCAGGTACATGAGGCAGCCCACAAGCTCTGGATACGGGCCACTCGGCTCTACGGACTCATCTGAAGGCAGAGCTGAGAGCGAGTGACCGGTAGGCAGAGGAGTGGACTGAGGCGAGGAGTACGTGAAGCCGAAACGCTGAAGGACCTGCTGCACCATGTGTGACTGAGTCAAGGTAATGGTGCGCCGTGCTCTGTCCCGGGTGATCCGCAAGCCAAGATAGCTTGTCAGTTCACCCAGGTCTGTGCACGTGTGTCTCTTCTGCAGCTCCGACTTCACGTGGGCGAGAGCCTCAGTGTCAGCAGTGGCAAAGACCAAGTCGTCGACGTACACGAGGATGTAGAACGGCGGCAGCGAAGTGTCTGTGCGCAGAAACAGCGACGGGTCAGCAGTAGAAGGCGCGAACCCAAGTGCCGCAAGCGTCGTCCTCAGTGTGTCGTGCCACTCACGTGGTGCCTGGCGGAGACCGTAGACCGGCCGCCGGAGGCTCCACTGGGTGCCAGGAGGAAAATTCCCAGTGAAGCCAGGTGGGCGGCGCAGCCAGATCTCCTCGTGCAGGCTACCCTGCAAGAAAGCAGTGCTGAAGTCAAGAGAGTGAAGCTCGTAGTCGCGCTGAGCGGCTATGTGCAGCAGTACTCGAAGAGTGGTCATCTTCGGGGTGGGGGAGAAGGTATGGAAGAAGTCGACTCCCTCACGCTGACTGAAGCCTCGAGCAACGTAACGCGCCTTGAAGACGGGCGGAGAACCCGGCGGCCGCTTCACCCTGAAAATCCACATGCCACTGACGATGTTCGCCCCTGGTGGGGGAACTGCGTCGACGTAGGTGCCTGTGGACTTCCAGGAAGCCATCTCTGCGTCCATGGCTGTCTGCCACTGAGAGGAGTAGGGACCCGCTATCGCCTCTGCGTAAGAGCGCGGGGTCGGGATGTCTGGTGCATCCGGGTCTCCCTCAGGGGCAACTAGCATGGACACAAGATGGGGCAAAGTAGCAGCAAAGCACTGGAACTCCTCCTGCCTGTCCTCAAGGACGTCCGTGCCAAGAGCACACTCACCCCCGACGGACGGAGGACAGACAGACTCAGACGCAGCAACTAGGCTAGCGGCGTAGTCGAGACGACAAGCGGCAGCAAAGTCAACTAACTCAGCGACGAGAGCAGACGCAGCAGAGGACTCAAAGGTAGGGTCAGTGACAACAGTAGCGAGGAGACGCGTGACAGTAGGACGGGCAGCACGAAGGGAGTCAGACTCCGGGTCAGCAAGAGTAGGAAGAGAGGACGCAGGAGGAGACGGCAGAGGGACACGCTGAGGAGCAGTGGAGGGACGCAGAGTCATGTAGTGAGTGCCAGGGACAGGAGGAGGACGCTCACGCGGGACACGACGACCAGTGCGAGCAGCACGAACAGGCGACGCAGAGCGAGACGCAGGCGACACAGGACGAGACTCAGGCTCACGACGCTCCGTAAGACCTCCTGTGGGACCAGTGTAAGGAGAAGGACCAGGGAGCGGCGAGGCAGGCGGTAACTGTGACTGTGACTGGACAGGCGGTGGACACTCTAAGGAGGGAGCAGGACAAGGAGGAGGAGGCTGACCAAGAACCTGCTGAAAGAGCGGAACGAAGAACGGCCGGGGCTGCGTAGCGACTCCAGAACCAGTAGAGACACCACCAGCACCCGCAGCAGCTCCAGCAGCGCCAGCTCCAGGGTCCTCAGCACCAGCAGCAGCTCCAACGTCAGGGTCCGCAGCACCAGCAGCAGCTCCAACTCCCGGGTCCGCAGCACCAGCAGCAGCTCCAACGTCAGGGTCCGCAGCACCAGCAGCAGCTCCAACGCCCGGGTCCGCAGCACCAGCAGCAGCTCCAACTCCCGGGTCCCCAGTATCAGCAGCAGTGCCAACTCCAGGGTCCGCAGCACCAGCAGCAGCTCCAACGTCAGGGTCCGCAGCACCAGCAGCAGCTCCAACTCCCGGGTCCGCAGCACCAGCAGCAGCTCCAGCACTAGGGTCCTCAGGACTAGCAGCAGTGCCAACTCCAGGGTCCGCAGCACCAGCAGCACCAGGAGAGCCTCCAGCACCAGCAGCAGCACCTCCAGCACCAGGGTCCGCGACACCAGGCGCGCCACTCCGGAGAGTGCAGCGCCGCTCGTACCACTCACGGATCCGCTCAAGAGAGGGCAGCTCCCGCTGAGGAGGGGGGACACCAGCACCAGTCGCAGGAGTACTCCTGGCTCCAGAGGCACCTCTCCGGAGGCTGCAGTACTCTGAGTACCACTCACGCAGCTGCTCCGAGGAGAGAGCTCCTCCAGGTGTAGGACTCCCAGGCTCAGCACCCCCAGACTCAGAACTCCGCGGCTCAGCACCCCCAGGCTCAGCACCCTCAGACTCAGCACCCCCAGACTCCGCACCCCCAGGCTCCGCACCCCCAGACTCCGCACCCCCAGGCTCAGCACCCCCAGACTCCGCACCCCCAGGCTCAGCACCCCCAGGCTCCGCACCCCCAGCAGGACGAGAGTCAACAGCTACCTCAACAGGCTCAACCGGGTCTACCTGGGACACACCTGAGGGAGCGGCACCCTGAGGGGGGAGGGGGTCTACCACAGCAGCACCTGGTGCGAGGAAGAGAGGCGAGGGGGGGAGCGGGGCAGTGCGGTAGGGGAAGAGGCGGTAGTAGGGGACGGACTCGTCAAAAGTGACGTCCTGAGAGGCAAGGACCCGGCGCGAGGTGGCGTGGTAAAACTGCCAACCAGACGCGTCAGGGACAAAACCAAGGAAGACACAGGGAACAGCGCGGGTGGAGAGCTTGTCCGCGGACGTATCGCGGACAAAAGCTCGAGATCCCCAGACCCGGAAACGCGACGCATCGCCAACCTCCCCCGTCCACAGCAGCGTGGGCGAGGTCTCCGGCAAGGAGACACGGGGCCAGAGGTTGAGCTGATGCGCAGCGTACCGGACTGCAAACGGCCACAGAAAGTGGGGGGCAGCCGCATGGATCAAGGAGGTACGGGCGACCTCCATGACTAGGCCAATGCGGCGCTCCGCAACCCCATTCTGCTGTGGAGAGGCCGGAAGCGTGAACGACTGCTCAATGCCGTGCTCAGCACAGTAGGCTGCCAAGAGGTCGGAGGAGAACTCACCACCTCTGTCAGAGTGCAAGCGCAGGACAGGAAAGTCCGAGTGGAAACGCTCGCTGAGCTGGAGACGAGCTCTGCTGATCCAAGGGATCAAAACATCAGGGACCTCACCCTTGGTGCGCAAGGGGAAGACCGTGATGTAGCGCGAGTAGTCGTCAACAACGATCAGGAAGTACCTCTCCTGACCCTGACCACGGACGCGGGCTGGGCCCCACACGTCCATGTGGAGCGTCTGCAAGGGAGCAGTCGTCGGGGGAAACGAGGAGGAGTGAGGAGCGGCGCGCTGCCGCCCCTCGACACAGGGAAGACAGGGAGGAGCAGGCGAGGGTGGGAGGGGAGGGAGGACCCTGGGAAGACCAGAGACAAGGTACCGTTTGTGCATGGCACGAAGGCGCTGCACAGACGGGTGGCCAAGTCGGTGGTGCCAGAGGACAGTCTCGTGCGCCAGAGAGCGACACGAGCAGGGGGCCGACAGCTGACCTGACGCAGACGCAGACGCAGCTACCTGAGGAGACTCAGTGGTCAGTGTGTACAGGTCCGACCCCGGCTGCCTAGTGAAGGTAGCCAAGTGGCGGCCCGTACGAGCACACGTGCAGTGTGTCACGCGCTCGTAGGCAGGGGTGAACTGGTGAACACCCGCGTCCTGGAGCGCACACCCTGCGACTCACCAGGTTTGTAGAGAACGAGGGGAGGTGGAGACCTGACAGTGTGCCGGACGGGACCGCAGGACAGGGAAGGACAGTGGAGGAGGTCGCAAGAACTGGGCCCCCAGAGGGGTCAGCGAGGGAGACAGCAACTGGCCGAGCAAGCGGCTCAAGGACAGTGCGGTCACGAAAGAAGCAGCGAGAAGCACCTGAGTCCAGTGTGAAGGTGTGCAGTGCCGCAGTCGACTCAGTACCAGGGGGCGCAGACGCACAAGCACCTAGAGCAGCAGCCTCACCAGCACCTGAGGTAGCAGACACGCGAGGACCTGAAGCGGCAGACGCACTGGTCCTAATGCCCGGGTCGGGCGGAACACACAGGTACTCAGCACCCTCTCCACTAGTAGACATCACATACATGGCAGTGAGAATAGCATCAAAGTCTAGAGCATAGATATCAATCCCCTTCTTCAGGAGATCAACCCAGCGGGGCAGCTCAGTGGCCTGAGGGAACTGAACACGCCAAGCGTCGTTGAGGCGAGCGAAGCAGCGCTGCGTAGCGTGTGGTCCCCCACACGGCTGACCAGTGTGGTCACCAGTGCGAATGGCGTACGTGCAGCTAAAGCCACCCCCCCCCCCCCCCCGTGCTGAGCGTACCACTCACGGACTTCTTGGGGCGACGGAGTGTGCTGCTGGCTCTGGCCACCGCCAGCGCCTCCACGACCACCACCTCCGCCCCCACCTCCTCGACCACCCCAACCCCTGCCGCTGCCGCGTCCACCGCCACCCCCACCACCGCCCCCGCCCCTGCCACCTCCCCCGCCGCTGCCGCCACCACCCCCACCGCCGCCACTCGCCCCTCCAGCCCCGCCACCACCCCCACCGCTGCCACCGCCCCCACCTCCTCCTCCCCCGCCGTCACCTCCGCCTCCCTTGCCCCCTTTGCCCTTGCCGCTGCGGCGTCCGCTCGAAGCAGACGCAGTCCCGACCTTCTCAGCACCAAGGAGGTCGACAGCAGCAGCAGAGGCGACAGAGGGAAGAAGGGGGGAAGGAGAACACCCCTCAAAGAACGGGGTGCGAGGGTCGCCACGAGAGGCACCTACAGCGACTATGCTAGCCTCAGCTGCAAGTAGTTCCTTCTCG